AGGAGGAGGAGGAGAAGGAGGAGAAGAAGGAGGATGAGGAGGAGAAGGAGGAAGAGCAGGATGGGGAGGAGGAGGGGGAGGAGTGGGAAGAGGAGGGGGAGGAGGAGGAGGAGGAGGAGGAGGAGGAGGAGGAGGAGGAGGAGGAGGAAGAGGAGGAGGAGGAGGAGGAGGAGGAGGAGGAGGAGGAGGAAGAGGAATAATAATAATAATAATAATAATAATAATAATATTATTAATAATAATATTACTAATAATAATAATGCTAATAGTACTAATACTGATAGTACTAATAATAATACTACTAATAATAGTATGGTTAATTATAATAATACTAATAATAATAACACTAATAATAATATTAATAATACTACTAATAATAATAATACTAATAATAATATTAATAATAATATTAATAATAATAATCATACTACTACTACTACTACTAATACTAATAATAATACTAATAACAAGAATATAATAATAATAATAAGAATACTACGAATAACCATAATAATAATACTATTAATAAGAAGAATAATACTAAGAATTAGTAATAATACTAATACTAATCAGAAGAAGAAGAAGAGGAGGAGGAGGAGGAGGAGGAGGAGGAGGAGGAGGAGGGGGAGGAAGAAGAGGAGGAGAGGAGGAGGAGAGGAGGTAGGAGGAGGAGGAGGAGGAGGAGGAGGAGGAGGAGGAGCAGGGAGGAGGATGAGGAGGAGAAGGAGAAGGAGGAGGAGCAGGAGGAGGAGGGGGAGGCGGAGGAGGAGGAGGAGAAGGAGGAAGAGGAGGAGGAGGAGGAGGAGGAGGAGGAAGGAGGAGGCCCTGCCTGTGCTGGTTTTCCACAAGGTTACTTTTTTTGTTGTTGTTGTTTGGGGGATTTTCTACATCTACGATTGCTGTCGGCGTTTCAAACTGCTGCTCCCGCTGCAGCGGGGGCCTCATCTTCGGATCGACTCTCTGCTCCCGTCTTGCCGCCTGGCGCTCTCTCGCCTTCGCGCGGGCCGCTCTCCTGGATCCGAGTCCAGCTTCATTTGTGGTTTCCCCCCTCACTTCCCCTCGTCCGCCTTCCCCTGGTCCTGCTGTTCCTCCCGCTCTTTCACTCTTCCACGTCTGAGCGCTCCCCCCCTCCTCCCCCCGCGCGGCCGCCCTCGTCTTTTTTCTTCCCTCTGCACGCCGGACGATTCGAGTTTTGGTTGCCCAAATTAGCCGCACGCTGGACTGGACTGCCTCTGCCTCGCCGCCGGCGGAAAAAAGTTGCCCCTGCTCCTTCCATTCCAGTTCCTGATGCCGCTCTCGGCCCCGACTCTTTTCGGGCCGCTTTTCGGGCTCCGACTCTTTCTTCATAGAGGCCGCCCCCCTCATTTCCTCTCCTCCGCCTCCCCCTGGTCTCCCTTTCGTTCCCTAAACCTGCCGCTTTAGTTCCTGCTGCTGCTGGTGTTCGTCCTCATCCTTTTCCTCCCGCCCATCCTTGTTCTCACCCGCCACCTCCTCCTCCTGTGCACGTATTTTCTCTTTTTTCGATTGCGGTTGCCACGAAGTGGTCTTTCTGTGGGAGTCGCAGGTCGGCTATGGCACGTGTCCGCGGATTCTGAAACATCAACGCCATGGGAAGGGATGGGAGGACGGGATAGGACGTCGGATGCGGCGCGAGCGGACCTATCCCCCTCCCCCTCCCTCTCCTTCCCTCTCCTTCTCCCCCTCTCCCTCTTCCCCTCCCCTCTCCCCTCCCTCTCCCTCTCCCTCTCCTTCTTCTTAGCCTTCTTTCTGATACACTTCCCCCCACCTCCCCTCCTCCTTCTCTCTCCACAATTGCTGGATATGAGAACTATTCTCCCCTCAACCGAAGACGTCCTGAGAGTCGCCTTCCCTTCCGCGTATAACGTTATCGCGCACAGAAATGGTGCGAGTCCGTTCCTTTCTTACGCGTATTTAATTTCGAGCTCGAGCGTTTTCTGTCCTTCCCAAAAAAACATGCCCCCGATGAAGCGTTGGCCTCATCTTACGATCGGCCCTTTGCTGCCGTTG